TCGTGACAATACCACGCTTCGGCCAAGGTGTGCCCTACTCCTTGGCCTATCTAACAAATGTGGTGCGCCCCAATGGCACCGAGCTGCAGCCCTATCCAAGCTACGACTTTCATAAAACACATGGCGATGATTGTGACGGACTGACCTCGGTTTACCGGATACAGGTAAACTATACCTGATATTAATTGAGACACAATATTTAACTTTTCTTCATGTTTGACGCACAACAGATTGACTCGTGTGGCAAAATGTGGATATTGGACAGTGGTGAAATTGAATTCAAGCAGCACTGCGCTCCCCAACTAGTGGTACTGGATATAGCCACCTCGAAAGTGGTGCATCGCTACCGTTTTCCTAAAGGCATGTTCAAGCCGACAATAAGTCGTTTTGTCACACCATACGTGGACATTGCGGATCCCGCACCGAAGGGTTCATGTCAGGAAGCTATCGTTTATATGGCCGATCCCACCGGTACTGGTTTTGTGGTGTACGATGTGCAGCATGAACGTTCATGGCGTGTGGAAAATAAGTACACATATCCCGATCCGGACTTTGGTACGCACACCATAGCGGGTGAGAGCTTTGAACTTTTAGATGGAACATTCGGTTTCGCGGTAACACCACGTGGTTTGGGTTTACGACGCATGTTATACCTGCATTCGCTGTCAAATGATGCACAAGTAGCCATACCATTGGATATTGTGAACGACCCGACTTACTGGAATAATGGTATCAATTCAGCTTTGGAGCATTTCGTGTTATTGGGCAAACGTGGAATACAATGTGCGGCCCCAGCTATGACCGCGAAGGGTATGTTTCTATGTGGACATCTAGAACCGATTGGTCTTTTCGGCTGGGATATTCGTACACCTTACACATATCAAAATCGCTTGTTGCTGGCTGAGAATCCCACAACGCTGCAATTTATAAGCGGCTTGAAGGTGGTAAGAAATTTGAAGGGCAAAGAAGAGGTTTGGATGCTGTCTAATCGCTTACAGAAGGGCTTCTCCGGCACCATGAATTACGATGAGATTAATTATCGTATTGCCAAATGCGGCGTCGAAGAATTGGTGTTTGGTAGACCTTGTTAGTCGACAATGACTTTTAGTCAACTCAGTTTAGTACCTTAAAAATGTTTTTATATAGTACTGTATGTAAATGACATAAATAATAATTCCGCTTATCAGTGAAATTTTTTTCAATTATCTATTTTGCAACAATTGTTTTAAAATTTTGGTATTGTAAATCAATTTATTATGTTTTAGTATATTATAATTAAATAATTCTCATTACAAATCTAATATCACTTCCATTATGTGTCAGGTATTCAAGATCAGACGCACTCTAGTTGTTTGGAGAGAATAAGGTTATAAATTGAAAGTCAATTCTAAATCAAATAAAAAATGTTTGGTAGATTTAAGTCAAATAAAGATTAAGTCCCACAGTTACGAAATTTTCTGGAGAGAAGATTAATCAAAATGGACTTCAAAGTTTTTTATTTTCAAATATGTCTTTATATAGCTTTTATTCAAGTTATAAACTCAGTATAAAAAGAATTTAGTATAGGTCGAAAGTATCACTACAGAGAATAAAAAAATATCTCAGAATGAATACAAAAGCTCCGAGAATGCTGGAGAATATCAACATCAGCAGCTAAATCAATAGACAAAACAATTCCAAATCGTGTAAGTACCAAAAAATGCATCACTAAAATTAAAATATATTCTTAAATTGGTTTTTATTCATGTTTTTTTTTAACGCGCAATCCACTACAACACAATACCTTTATATGTGATGACAAATAAATATTAGGCGATGTTTTTCACGTGATGTGATAAAGTGCGATATGGTTTCAGTGGCAATTTTTGAGTGTAAATAAAAAATTATTTATAAAATAATAAAATTTATAAACTTACCGAATTTATCTGCAACGTTATCAAGGCATATGATGTGATGATATCACAATTTAAACGATATGAGTTCGATTTGATGTAACTAGTGGCATAAGGTTCTAATTTGACGTTATATGATATCAAGTGAAGTGTATCACGCGAAAAATTATTGTAAGAAGCATTATTGCAAGGTGATATCACATCGCATTAACATAATGGATACATATAGGTATGTTTTCTTAAGTATAATTTCGATACAAGTACTAATGGCATTTCTGGAGGAAATTGTGGTTATTTATATACATTCATAACACACATATAAGTCCAGGGGGTTTATAAATATGATGCAAAGTACAGTCATGTCACATGATATTAATGTATTGTGTTCCTAAAAGTTATTAGAGGGAGCATAAAAAGCATGTGATGTTATGACGTGACTATATAAATAAAAATATGATAAAATATCTGAAACAGGCTTTGATATTGTCTCAATCTTAGTTTAAATATTGGAAATTCACTATAGAATATCAGATAATGAAAACAATACATCACCTATGCAGACTTGTCAAGTGCTAGCATTGAAAGTAGTAACGTAATTTCTAAGTTGCTCATACTTATGTGATGCGATATGCTAGTCTGATGGCAAAAAAATTTTCTAAATATTATTTATGAAAACATTAGCATTGTTGATGTAGATAATGTTCAAGTGATATAATATACTTGGAGTGTTATATCATTTGAATTGAGTATGGGTCAATTGATACTCAATGCAAGCAATATCGTCAAATTAGTAGGCTTTAGATACAATTTACAACAACATATATATGATAGAGTGACATTTTATTGTATGACATATGATGGCGTAACGATATGTTGTGACATTATGGTACAGCACTTGATGTGTTGTGTTTTAGTTTTATATTGCGATTTTTTAATTGATTCTTAAGGTGTAAGTATTTATTAAAGCATACACTTTAAATCACATATTGATACGACGCTTTAACACATGATGTGATTTTGGGAGATAAGCTATTTTGTGATTTGATTTCATTATACCTATGGGACACAATAATCAATAGGGACAGAAAGACGTACAATTTAATACTGGGTTATAGCTCTGCATGTGTACAAGAGCTCTTAACACCTCAATGTCACAACGCTGCCCTCTGCCGCGGGTCACCCATAGAGCCAAGTGCAGCTAATTCTTCATTCATATAAACACAAATATCGTTGGATGCGTAGTTGTTGAATGAATTGTCTTGTGAGTTATTTGTTCCGTTCTTATTGTTTATTATTTACACTTTAGGTTTGTTTTTCCAGGTAACAAAAAAACCCTTTAGGTTTGAATGTAAACGCTTATACATACTTACAAAATGTATGTAGAAGCACCTACTCAAAAGTAAATCACTATTGGAAAAGTATTACAAAAGTACGGTGCCAGCTAACTTCTGGCTAAATCGTACCGTATGGAACACTCTGATTTGCCTGACTTGCACACACACATATGTATTTGCAGTCTTCGCTGTGGTTGCTGCCGCTGCACTGTTATTCGTGTACCTGTTAAGGCTTTATGGCCAAGTTGGTCGTTTGTTCTTAGCGGCAAGCAGTTAAACAGTCAAGCGCTCACTCGCACACGCGTGCAAACAATCGTCTGGTGCGGCAAATCAAGTCAAAAGTATTTGGCCTAAGCCAACCGTCTGACCAAATACTTATTCGAATACACATCTATACATACATATATACATTCTTGGATATGGTGTGTGTGACAGGATGTGTTGGCATTGATGTCGGTTACCAGTGCAAAGTGAAAAAAAAACTGTTAATGAATTGTATACAAACATGACTCCAAATTGTATGTGGTTAAAGACGAAAGATTTGTGCCCTTCTTTTAGAACATTTAACATAAAATACAGTATTTATATTGGAGATTTAAACCACCGCTTGCTTATTAGTTATATTTTGGAATTCTTGAATATGATTTGGATTTCGTTCTAAGTATGAAAGATATATTCAGTTCGATACTTATTCTCATCAATGTCCTATTGTGATGTGTATCCGTTAGACCACCTAAATTACATCTGCTGATCTGATAATTTTTGGTTGAATGTTTTTCTATAAATATTGTAGGACTATTTTAAAAAGGGAGTTCTGTCTTCTCAACTAGGATTTTATTAATCTTAGCGAAGCAAGCGAAGATAACAAATCTCAATTTATTTTTAATTCTTTATGTTACCTTTACTAACTAGAATTCGCCAGAGTCCTTTTATGGAATTGATAATTATACATATATACAATATAAGTTCTTTCTCAAAACATTTTCGAGCTATAATTATATAGAATTAAAATTCTTCAAATTCCACTTCTCGAAATAGTTCAGATATTTCGAATTCTTCCAATTATTGGGCTCTCTCTTCTCTCCTATGTAATCTAAAAAAAAAAACAGTTTTCCATACAAGGACTTGTTTTTGATTGGTCTGTTTGTTGGCAGATATGTATAGATATGTTCGGACTACTGAACAGAACAATATGTTTGGATGTTGTAGCTTTGTCTTGGACTATAATCCTAATAAAAAAGTGCTCCATACAATAACTTGATATGGACCGATCAGTTGGTATGGTAGCTATATTTTATAGTGATCAGATATCGGCGATTCCGACAAATGAGCAGCTTCTTGGAGAGAAAGGATGTCTGCAATATCTCAAAAACTGAGCGACTAGTATATACTAACAGACCAAGGGACATCAACGCAAATCGACTAAGCTCGTCTCCCTTATCTCTTATATGTTCATTAGAACACAACTTTAGTCGTATATGCCGCATACTCTCTGGTGTAGCGAACAATAACTCAAATATCAATAAGTGTTGCTGGAGTTGTCTTGTCTACAGAATAAAGTGATTTCATTCTTTATGTTACCTCGACGTGAAGTGGATAGTTTACTTTGACGTTTGGTTGCATTCAAGAATGCCGTTGGCTAATTAGACTTGGTTAGCGCCTACAAAAACCCGGCAGACATCTGTATGTTTGTATGCTTAGACATAAGTATTATACATATGTACGCATATTTTCACTGCATGTAGAAAGCGGCATTTGAAGAAGATGCTGCACGATGCACGCAGTCATCCAGGGCGCTCAATCAGTCAGACTTTAGTAACGCGTCGAGGCGGACGTCACCCGCTTAAGAACTCAGCTCAGCTATTATCTTAACTGTAATATTTTGATTATTATTAATTTTTTTTTTTTATTTGTTTGGAAAACATTTGTGATTGTGTGAAATTGAACCCTGATTCGCAGTATGTTGTTGTTATGTTGCTGCTTTGTGCAACTGTTGCTCCATTTGGTCAGTGGCGGTGTGGCAGAAAGTGATGTTGAGCCACTTCTGCATAGAAAAGAGTTCGTTACGCTTCATAAATGGAGCGAATTGAAATTGAGTGTGCCCGAAGGCTATCAACAACCGCCAACGCTGGATGCAAATCGTTACGCACAGGAAAAATTGCTGCCAGTCGATGTGGATGTGGAATACGGGGGTGAGTGATTGTTTCTTCTTTTACTTAATTACCAAAGAAAGTTATACAATTACTTGCAATTCTATATTAATTATGATATTCCCCACTCTCTCTCACCCTTACTATATCTCTATCTGTTCAGATGACGGCTACCATCGGACCTTCCTTACCATACCACGTTTGAGCCACGGCGTTCTTTATTCCCTAGCTGTGGTCGCTGACAGTGATAACTCGACAATACTTAATCCAATTCTGGTGCCTTATCCCAGTTATGATTGGCACTCCAACTTTGGTCAAAATTGCAGCACCATAACTTCTGCAATACGCACGTTCGTAAGTGACAACAACACGACTCCACCACACACATATAAAATTAACATGCTCTAAATTCGATCTCTTTCTCGCACTCTTCTCTTCGTTAGATTGACGATTGTTGGCGTTTGTGGGTTGTTGACTTGGGTCAGATTAACGGTATTCAATATTGTGCGCCTCAAATACTCGCCTTTGACTTGGTCACCGATCAGCTGTTACATCGTTATGTTATTCCAGCATCACAATATACACCGGGAGTATCCATTTTTACCGCCCTCGCTGTGGACATAGATGAATCGGTGCCGAAAGCGGAGTGTAGTACTGCTATGGTCTACATCGCGGATCCCTGGGGTTATGGTCTGATTGTTTACGATATGAATCGAGAGCAATCTTGGCGCATACAAAATGCCCACATGCAACCAGAGCAACAATTGACGCAGGATAAGACAGGCAGCAGCGGCATTTTCACAGTCAGCATAAGTCCAAGACAGCATGACAAGGAAGGAGGTAAGAACGGTAAAATATTTATGAAATTTCATAAAACCTTATAGCCTGTGGGTTCAAGAACTGTAATGTGAAATATTACTAAGCTACTCATTTGAAACTTCAAGATCTCTAGAAAGTCAGCGCCTAATAATGTATTTTAAGGTTTAAGGAAATATTAATATTTTAAAATATTATGTATACATATGTATACCTATAATGTAGATTCATTAGTCGGTAATTTTTTATCGCCCACACAGCAGAAAATGCCACTTATTTCCAAAAATAGTTAAGCATATAAATAAAATATTAAAATTGTTTAGTTCCAGCTGATCGACGCTTATATTTCCATGCACTGAATAGCTTTCTAGAAGTAAGTGTACCGTTAATTGTAGTCAATAACGCTTCACTGTGGACACAGCTTAAAGATATGGAAACACAAAACGAACTGTTAAAAGAATTTAGAATCGTTGGCAGCCGCGGCATACATTGTGAATCGGAAGCTATGGACAGTGAGGGTAATTTATATTGCAGTTTGATAAGCTCAAGCGCCTTAATAGCCTGGAAGGAAGACAGCGATTACGATTCGGATCATTTGAAGGTAATTGAGAGAAAAGTAGGCGAACTAAAAGCAACCAAAAACCCTCTTAATATAACAAATTATACTTAGAAGAGGAAGAATGAAGTTATATCAAACAAACACAAGGTTTGCCCTCAGGAACATATTATATATCGTTATTTTTTATCATACAAAGAAAAATTATTAATTTGATTGTTTTCAAAATACAGGTTGTCGCTTATAACCCGGAAAGATTACGATTTGTTACAGGGCTTAAAGTGAACCGCAATAATCTCGATGAAGATGAACTTTGGGCCTTAAGCAGTAATCCAGAGGTAATCAACTTTAATATAAAAATGCCAATAAAAAAATATTAAATAATTGATTATACAATTAACCGTTTTAGCTATTTGTTGGTGGTAATGTGCAAACAGATGATATTAAATTTCAAATCATTGGTTGTCGCGTCAAAAATTTACTGGAAAATGAACCTTGCTCCGTTGTAATAAATCATTTGCAAAATGCGACAAATTATTATAAACAACATTAAAATAAATAAATAACGATTAAATTTTATCATAATCAACTGAATATGTAATAATTAATAGTGATTATTATTACTTGGGCTATTATCTCTTATTGAAAATCTATTTTTACTTTGTATGATAAAGAGTTATTACTAAAGGTATCATATAACATATAAGTGATTAAAATATTGAATTTAGTTCCGAAATCTCTAATTAATTTTTAATATTATCAGAATTTTAAATAATGCATTAAGAAAATAATTGAATCAATATTAAAATCACAATTTGCAATCCCGAAAATATTACTTAAAAATAATTTTAAAATTTCTAATCCCAAACACCGGAGTGATAAAAAAATTTTAGTCACAAATACCTTATTGAAAAATAAAAAAATTTTAATTCCAAGTTTATAATTGAATAGCTCTGTGCGAGACTTCAATTCAATACTCTAATAAGCATTAGTGATCGGAAAACTTACCCATTCTAACAATTTATATTTTAGCAATGTTTAATTCTGAAAAAATGCCAAGTTAATTTTTAATCCCAATTGTGCTTTACAAAATTAAATTTTCCATTTTTAAATCCAACATTTCCAAAATCTAATTTTTTTTCAATTTAAAGTTTTTTATTTAAAAAATTCCCAACTGCGATTATTATACTAAATACTTTTATAAAAATCTATTTGAAATTAATATCAAAACAAATCGCTTAACACATACACAAACCGGCGCCATCTAACGCCAGAACCCTCGTTATTCACAATAGACGCTATGCCGTTGTTTACAAATACAACGGCGGCCATTAAATAAATACCGAAAACAGCTGATTGCCAATGTCAAACGCCACGCAAGTGTTGATTATTTACATATATTCAATTTTTACATTCCATTGATTAATAAAATTTACCGGCAAACAATGGTTATGACGAATTTACAACGTTGGCTTTTATATATTGGACTCTTTGCGATACCTTATGTGGCCATAGTGACCGGTATATTACGCGCACCTGTGCTTACCAAATGGGAATTGGAAATTCAGCTGTTGCCACTTATATTGCTGGTGCTGGTTGGGGTGAGTCAGTGAACATTCTAAAGCAGAAACTCAATTATTTTGTATTACTTATAAATTTCTTTGTTTTCACAGGCTTATTCGGCTACAGTGGTACTCTATCGCACGTTTACATTTAATGATTGTCCACTGGCAGCCAAAGAACTGCAAGAACAGATTGAGCTGGCACGGAAAGATTTAAAAGAGAGAGGTTTTATATTTCGCGAATAACAAATGTTTATAAGCTGATAAACTTTCCTTTAACTAAGTATTAAGTATAGATGAATACACGATACAAATAAATGCATTACTTTATGATTAGCAATATGAAATGTTAGTTACTTTCTGCATTAGATAGTGGCATCTGCACACACTAATTGATTTCAAACTTGTCTGACAGGTAGTTTAATGAGCTAGTGTAAGCTGACATGTAAGCTTAGCCAAATCCGTTATTACGCTGTAAAGACTTTCTATTTTTATCAAGAAAATGCCAAACATTAAATACATTATTAACATTAATTATGTGTTATACATTTTTATTTGAATAATGCTAGGTGACGTTACATTAATAGGCGCTTAGAAAGGTTTTATTTTCTATTTCAACAATTCCCTCTTCACATATCACGTAAAATAACATTCTACTATTCTCCTAAACTCTAAAGCCATGACAACTATATATGATTAATAGAAATATTTCTGTATCCACCCTGCAATCATAAATGCATTACAAATAAAATGCTTGTAAAACTGTATTATTATTTTCAATTTGAGTTGCTCGTATATTTTTATACCCTATATATAGTATAGTAGATTTGCCATGAATTTGCAACACCCAGAAAGGAACAACAGTCTACGAGATAATTTTTCAAATCGAACCACTAAATAATAAACTGTCATACAAACGGAACGGCAAAATCTTGTTCTTGTATGGAAAACTTTTTTATTTTACGAGGCATCTTCGCGAATTCGGTTGGTTTTTTGTGCAATGCAGCGGTACAATCTCAGAAGATCGGACTACTGTAATGTAATATATAGCTAACATGCATACTGACCGATCAAAATCAAGAAAGATATTTTATTAACCTTTTAAGCTATAAGCAATGCACCAGTGAAGAATATTATAGCTTCGGTGCAGCCGATGTTAACGATTTTTCTTGTTTTTGTTAGTTTAACATAAAATCATATGTACATATCCACACGAGTATAACAAGTTTAAGGGAGCATTTAAAATGCCAGTTAAGATATGATGACAAATACGCGCTCCTCACCCTTGCATTTCTAAAAATTGGTTTTTATTACAAAAATACTAACATATTTACTTATACACAAATATTATGAATGCTGAATGTTGACCGCAAATGCAAGGGAGGAATATTTTTAGATTATTAGGGTTTTTGTTAAGATAATAATTCGGTTTTTGTTACCGAAATATTAAAAAATAATTAAATTAACATTAAAATTGTTTTTTGTTTTTTTTTTTTTGTTTTCTAATCCTTGATTAATAATATTTTATAAATGTCGAAGCACAAACACCGGTTTGTAAAAAAAAAGTAAAAATAAATATTTTGGAATCTTTAATGTTATAGTCTAACATGCTGGTTATTTGCGGTATACTCGCTATGCAAACACTATATACTATACTTTTAAATAATAATATAATATTTTTCGCTACTTTGTACTAATTATATTTTTGTTCTCCACTCACTCAGCAAACCATAAACTAAAGCGTAGACAAAAACCGTTGCGTGACTGCAATTAATAATTTTAATTTCTTCTCAGTGTTAGCTAAGTATGTATATATATTACAATAGTTATACATTGTAGATTCAATAGTATAGTTATAACTACTTAACACCAAATAAAAGGTGGGAGTACATAAATTTTTCACAGATGTACATATGTATAGGCAAGCAAAATATATATGAGTTGGATTGTGATTTGTCTAAAATGCAAATTAATATAATAAGTAATAGAAACATAATAGTTTAATTTACACAAAAAGGATATATGCAAGGAATAGAATCACGTTCTTATTGTGTTATTAACAATCAACTATATTATATAATATATTACAAGTTGGAAAAGACATATCATAGAATAGTGTGATCGTTTTGACGATAGCCTGACCCATTTGAAGCAAAGCCAGTATTTTAGCTTAAATATTGAGTAATTTCCAATATGATTCGTATAATCTCATACATACATGTATCCAAATGATCAACATGGCGAGAAGAATTGAATTCCAGTCCTTATGTCCGTCTATGCGTCCGTCCGTGCAAGCGATAACTTGAGAAAAAATTGAGATGAATTGATATAAACTACTACTAAATTCAAATTCGATACAAAGATCCCTGAGAAAAGGACGTTGCCGCTCCTTCTAATAAGTTTGAAATAAAAATATACATACGTATGTATATCTCACTAACCACCAGAGCTTTTTGTATTTTGTTTGTACAATTTATCCCGTGCTACCATTTGATACTGTTAAGAAGCTTCCGCCAAACTTTTAAACTCACAATTCGACAGATAGTGCACTAATTCTCAACCGCATCGAGAAGATTAATTGTCCGCCAAAAAAGTAATCTTATTGTATACAGACAGACGAACGGAATATCTAAATCGACTTAGCTCATCATGATGATAATTTATACTATATGGTGTATATTTTATAGAGTCTCCGAAACTCCCTTCTGGGTGTTACAAACTTCGTCGCAAACTTAATATACCCAGTTCAGGGTATAATTATAAAAGTTTTAATTAAGACTCACTATAAAAAAAAATACATATACATATATATTAATGAAAACGAAAAAAATTGAAACAAAAATATAAAAGCTTTATGGATCTGTCTGCTTTTTATGAATAATTAGTTTTCAAAAAGCACATTTTCTACACTCAAAAGCGCATACTTTGTAACTCAATTCCCTATGCATACATATGTGACGAGTATATCAACAATAAATTTACATATACAAGTAGTATATACATATACACCGTCGGAAGATCAAGAAAATGCAACAATTGCTACCTGAACTCTCCCACAGCGCGTATGAAATGAACTAAGCGATCAGCTCAAACTACTTTCAATTCACACACACACACACACTTGCACTTCCCGCCATCAAAACAAATTTCAAAGCATCTACGTGCATAGGTACCATAAACTAATTAATGAGTCAAACAAGTCAGCGTAGCCTCGACTCGGAGCCGACCACCACACCAACGAACCGAATCAAGTCGAACCACCGTCAAGCCAAGACAAGTCACCAGTTGGCGGTATGCCATTCAAACAAAAAGCTACAGTTCGAGCCCTAGCTGAGACTAGCCGAATGCGACTCAGAGCAAATGTTGGCAGTTGAATTTTAGGCGTTGCCCGATTCAAACCAACGTGCTGAGCAGCTCAAAAGTGTTTTTAAGTACTAAAAAATAATATACAAAAACAAAAATTAGTTTATTTTCTTTGTCGCTATTTATTCAGTTGACCCCGGTGTAGATTGACTTGTTGTGGTTATTGTCTTTTTTCGGTTATTCGGTGGTGCATCTGTAAGCTACCTTTGTGTGTCTTTCGCTGGAAAAACAAAGTTTTACAAGTTGTATAATAAAACAAAACAACAAAAGTATCATGAATCAGAACGTTGTCGGAGTGTTCTTGGTGTTGATCGCAGTTGCCAATGCGGTGAAGGTAATAATGAATTGGCATGTCATATGCAGATTCTAAGATAAGTTAATGGTAGTGTATATGTGTGTGTATGTATTGTATTAACTATGTATATATATAATATGTACATGCATGCATCCGTAGATATGTATGTGAGTACTTGTAGGTATCTATGTTGTAAAATTTACCATTTTTTGATTGAAGTTTTGTAAATTTGTTAAGAAAATAACATAAGTTATCCACTTGTTATATGTGGATGCCAATTTTTAGCATATAGTATGTACAATATAAACAATATATTTTTATATAATTCATATATGTATGTGTATAAATTACATTTTGTATAAAAGTGTGAAGCTATAGAATATAATGACATAATTAAACTAATCACTTAATCAGGTCATGTATGGGTTTTCTATTACAAAACGATGGAAATATTGTCAATTACTGACTTCGTGTACAAAATAACGGTTCATTAACACCAATCGTGATAAAAGCTACCGCTTATACATATGCACACATATATTTTTCGAAACCAATTTATAATCACATAAATTTCATGAAAATGTTGCTGTATTTATATAATAAAACAAATATAGGTCCACGTCTACATACAAGTATGTATATACATACATGTGTACGTATATACACTCAGATATACCTCCACGATATCTGACCAGTTAATTAGAATATAATTCGTTTTATGAATAAAAAGTTCTACATAAAATAAATTGGCTAATAAGCTATAATTTCTGTGACGATTGCACGCCAACACCTGGGCAACAATGGGTTAACACCCATTTTTTCTCAATAACCATAATGAAAAACTTTTGTATTCAAATTTTTAAGCATAAATCATTAACAGGCAACAAGATGCATGTATGTATCAGATATGTGCACAGCAAGATATTTAATTGCATTTTATTTCACAGAAAAGCGTAACTGTACTTACTTACAGTTGGTTACGGTTAATTGAACTCGAAAATGTTAAAAAGCTGTGAAGCAGTTTACCTTTTTGAGTAAAAATACGGCTTACTTTAGTCAATTGGTAAATTGTCGAAAAATCTGATTTATAGAAAGCGGTTTATTTTGACCAATAAACTTAATTTAGTCAATTAATCTTAATTTAGTCGATTAATTGCATTATATTAAATTAGGATTAGTTTTGTCTTAATTTGGTCAATTAGCCTTAATTAAATCTTAATTTGGTCAATTAATTTTAATTAAGTCAATAAGACTTATCTTAGTCAATAATCTAATTTTCTAGGGCTAACTGCCAACTGACTAAATTAATTGGCGATTTAAAACAAATGCAAAAGACAATGCTTTTGACAGATTACATACCTTTTCTATTAACAATTAACAAAGTATTTAAAATATGTAAAAATTTTACTTTGTAATATGAATCAATTAGCCGTGAAATTTGGAACATTATTTTTTAATACATTCAAAAATTAACTGTATTGGCTATCATAAGGACGAAAACACCTTTAACTAACTTGCTGACTGAAATTTTCACCTAAATCCATTATTTTCTGTTAAACGACGTCTACTTTATTTCTGTATTTTACATAACTCTGCATTTGTTTGATCATTGTATTTCTTTGCTTATTGCACACCCAAACACTAAAAAAAGTTCAATGAGACAATCATTAAAATTCAAGTTTTTTGTTTTGTCGCTGTGTTTAGCAACTAGCATGCGTTTTGGTAAACATTTTCGCTTTTTCTCATGGCTAACAGTAGAGCACAGTGGTGCGCAAGTGATGAAAATAAATATTGAAAAAAAACAATGAAAACTAAATATCCAATAAGCTTTCTTAACTTTAAATTTTTTTTATATTATTCAGACTCTTAATTCAAGGTGCATACCTAGTGTGACAGCTAAAATAAGCGATTTTTGGGAATTAAAAACACGGCTGTATCAATTTTTTTTTTTAATTTTAAGGGTGTAAATCTACAGATTTTTAGAATATACACTAAAATTTTTGAAGAAAACCATTAAATATTTTTCGAGTTACAAGCGTGCTCCGAAAGCGCCGCAATATTCCGAGATTCTTTGTGGGTGAAACTTAAAAAGAATTCTCTACTAGAAGACATTAATTGAACCACTGAGGCCACACTTAGAAACTCTAACTCAAAAATTATCCGAGATATCGATTTAAAATTTTAGTATGTTATTTTCAAAGGTAAGTGTTTCTTTTAAGTAATTAATTAGTTAAAATCTCAAATTTCCTCTTTATGATCAATAATCATACCTTTCTTTAAATAATTCCAAGATTTAGAAATTAACTTTTTGTTATATTAGAAACCAAACCGTTGCCATTTTCAGAATAAAAAAAAAAAGTATGCACGAAATAAATACGCAATGTCTGTATTAAATTATTTTCTTTGATTTCTTTAAAGAGTCGATACTTGTAGAACCGACAAAAAGATTTTTTAATCAAACCGCTATTTTTTTCATATATTCGTACAATTTCAAATGAGTAGAAATAAAACTAAAAACGTATTCTTCACAATTTCCGTTGAAACAAAGAAGTTTACCAAGCATATTAAATTGTGTGCGCAGTTAACTTGACTCCGCCTCACGGTGCAATAACTCATTCTGGTATAGTTGTGAGTAAACCGGTTCAGACGATAACGCTGTGAAGTCAAGCTTAGCTGCAGGGGTTTGTGTCTATAGCTCTTGCTAACACTACCTTACAACTTTTACACCGCATATGTTTTTAGTTGAATTTTTTATGCTTTGTGCTTTTCGTTTATGCTTTACAAACAAGTTCCCCATGCAAGTTGGCAGTAAACATAAACATAAAGAGGTAGACGCTATACAACAAAAACATAAGTTCTCTTTTAAAAGTCGGTTTCTGAAAAATATTTCACTTCCATTATAAGCAATTGAGCAATCGAATTTGAGTGTGGTGGGAGCCGGTTGAAAAACAATTAGAATTTGAATAAAAAGACGGTCTGATATACGTTTGGATGATATATATTATATCCCTCACCAGAGAGTACTGAAATTATTATCTCCATATTATTGTTTACAACTTTTCACCAGGAACCAGTTTCATTTTTTTTGTTTTGAAATTCGATAATTTCAATTTTTTATTTTTATTTTCTTAATTTTTTGTAGTAGCTTTGATGCTGTTCGCATACCAATTAACTAAATTGATCGTAATTTTTAGCAAAATAACTGACATCATTTCCATATTTAGCGAAGTCAGAGAAATGAAGCATGAACAAATAATACCCAGGTCGAAAAAGTTACAGTTCTTCTAAATTATTGCTACCAAAATTGTGTGTATATGTATAGTATAAAAGGAATAAATTAATCAATTTAATTATTTATAAAAATTAAATTAAATGTTTGAAAGTTAATTATTATGTTTAACCGAAAGATTATAGGCGAAGACAATACGTAATAAACCGAAAGTTATGAAAAGAACCAAGTTAATTTATTCAATGAAGACAATTAAAAACAAGAAAATTGTTAACTTCGGTTTTATATAGTGGTTTTGTCTTGGACAATAATGCATGCGGAGTTTCGTGAAGATTTCTTGTCAAATAAAAAAGTTTTCCATTTAAGTGCTTCATTCCGATTGTTCAGTTTGTACAGCAGCTATATGCTACAGCGGTCGCATATCGGCGGTTCCGACAAATGAGTAGCTTCTTGGGGGCGAAAACGACGTGTGGATAATTGCAAAGCAATATGTCAAAAACTGAGGGACAATTGCTAGTATTTACACTGACAGACGGACATGGCTAAATCGACTCAGCTCGTCACACTGAACATTTATATATGTAAATATTTAATGTCCGACGTTTCTTCCTGGGTGTTACAAACTTCGTGGCAAACTAAATATATAATACTTCATATACATATATACATATATACATACCCCATTCAAGGTATCTTGAATGTGTACCCAAAAATAGGCAACAGAACAAAATGATTCACTGCCAGAACCATATTATAGCTGAAAGTTTTAGTTTTAAAACTTTTTGAACAAAAATTCAGAAAAAAGCGGTTATTACAACAAAAGAGAACTTACTTTTCCTTTCAAGGAAATCGGAATCGATAAATTAGAAATAATCGATAGGTTATTAGCCAATGTTCCTCTTATAAGCGGTCATAGTTACCAATATTCGGAAAAACATGATTTTCTTGGTGTCATATAGTAAACGTTTTTGAGTATTGCTAAACCCAAAGAGACCTACATACCTACTAGAAGCCTTCCATAGTCTTTCAGTTTATACCTGAGAACAATTTTTTAAACCCAAAGACCCCTAAATGTGGTTTAAAATCAATTCTTTACTATAAAATGTTATTTAAATAAATTGAAGTTGTATAATTTAATATTTTCTTTATAAAATTGCAATGCTCTCTCTATTAAATTTGAAGAAATTGTTAAAGTACCTACTTGCTTGCTACCTTGCTACTTTCAGCCATTAGCGGCTTCCGGTTTCATGAAGCACAAATCGATAATGTTAAAATAACTCTCTTATAGTTCGTATTGTTGTGCATGAATTCGTTGCATTTATAATAAATGAGATATTGAAGGAATTTGTAAAATCAAGACAAATGTATGTTTGAAAGTATATTTCTAATTTGACTTCTTTCGAAGGCAGCTTACGTGTAACAGCAATACTTATTAGTCATTGTAGAAATATATACATATGTATTTTTTGTACGACGACGGTTCGATAAGTACTTAGTTTCATCGCCTGATGGCTCCACAACTGACAAAATTTCATTCAAATCGGAGTAAGAATTTTGTATGGATTGCGTGTGGAAGCCAATGTCTCCGACCGAGAAATTAGGAAAATGGTAAAAGAACAATATCGGTCGATTCGTTTCTTGAAAGTAAAATATAAATGAAATTAAAAAACATCTAATCTTATCTAGGGTGACTCTTCTTCTTAGAAGTTTCAGTCAAAAAATGGTTTAACAAGTTGCAACGAGCCCCAAGTCCTTGAAAAACGGCTCACACAGACGATAACATGACAGAAATTCACGGTCTCGTATTGGCAGACTGTGGTTTGAAGGTGCTCCAAATAGCTGAGACAGAAGGCATTAAAATAAAGCAACGTTAGCCTTTAGCACTTCACATTAGTGTTTGAAGCTGGGATTCAAAAGTTATGAGTTATATCAATATATATAGACTTCCATTCTATCCTCCAGATTTTTTTTATACCCTGAACAGGGTATATTAATTTTGCCACGAAGTTTGTAACACCCAAAAGGAAACGTCGGAGACCATATAAAGTATATATATAATATAAATGATCACCGTGACGAGCTGAGTTGATTTAGCCAAATTGTAAAGATCGGATGACTATAGCATATAGCTGCCATACAAACTGAACAATCGGAATCAAGTGCTTGTATGGGAAACTCTTTCATTTGACGGGGTATCTTCACGAAATTTGGCATGGATTATTATATAAAGCAATAATCTAATCTCCGAATAAATTGTATAGATCGGACGACTATAGCATATAGCTGCCATGTTAACTGAACGATCGGAGTAAAGTGCTTGCATGGAAATTTTTTTTATTTGACGAGGTATCTTCACGAAATTAGGCACGAGTTATTGCTTAAGGCAACAAATTATTCTCCACAGAAATTGGTCAGATCAGATCACTACATCATATAGCTGCCATACAAATTGAACGTTCGGAATCAAGTTTTTGTAAGGGGCCTTTGTATTTGTGAAGGGTATTATAGATTCGACGCAACCGAAGTTAACGTTTTTTCTTGGTTTTTTTTTTTTTGTGTTTACAAATTAAATCGGCGGGCAGATAATTTTGCCCAATGAGGAATTCTAGGTCGTATTTGCCTGACAAGTCTATCGAGCTACAAGGATTCCAAATAGATTTCTCCAAAATTTTCATTTTTTTCTTACAGACTAAGTACTTATTGCACCGACCTCATAAATCACAACAGCCTTAGTAGTCTTGGATAACTAAAGACAACTTAAGCTACTTTAATATAATATATTCTTTCGCATATTTAGTTTTTATAAAACATTTAAATTAAGAAAAAACTGTTTTTATTTCAATACATTTTAAACTATTTGCAATTATTCTTCTGTCAGGTGCCGGTAACCATCTACTATGAATCACTCTGCCCAGATAGCGCTAAGTTCATTACGGAGCAGGTCTTTCCAGCTGTGAAGGGCGAGCTGCGCGACTACGTGGAAATCAACTGGGTGCCTTATGGCAAGTCGCATGTAAGTACCGCTATTCATATATGTTTATTTATACACTCATACATACAAACAAATCATAAATAAGAGAGACAAGTAGCATAATTTTGCTTAACTAGTGTTTCGTTGTTTTGACTTGTTGTTTGTGAGATGTATGCAATTATATCACGTGTAGATATATGGTATATAGTATGATACTAACGTATATCGGTTTTATTTTCTGTTTAATTGTTCACCTGCTTATGCAGTTCATAACACAAGGTGCTGAAACGATTTTCGATTGTCATCACGGTCCAAACGAATGCTACGGCAATAAAGTGCATGCCTGCGCTATCGAACATATTCAGGCCAACTCCTACCAAGTCGAATTCACCAGAGAATCACTAACTTTGGACTTCATCAACTGCATGATGAAGGCAGGCAAGAACTTCGATGACAACGTATATCCGGGTGCACGTTGGTAAGTGACGACCGACTGTTATGCAAATCAGGTTACACGCTTGCAATTGTCATGTGTTAGCTTGTTGGCTTATGTTAGTGTAACGTTCATTAACAGCTTGGCTCAAATTTTGCCATTATTGTTGTATCTTTTAGCGCACGTGAAAATCATATTAGCGCCTGGGAAAATATTCAGCAATGTGCCAACACAACTGAAGGCAGTATTTTACTCAAAAAACAAGGCGAAACCACCATACAGTTTCAAAATCCATTGACCAGTGTTCCAACTGTTGTCTTCAAGCAGGTGAGTTTTGGAGTGAAAAGTATTAGCTTACAAATAGTTTTGTTTTATTTATTCACAATCACATCATAAAATTAAAGAAAATGTTTCCACACTCTGTTAATTAAACAAAAAAACAAAAATCAAAAAGCACCGAACCTATATACCTTCACAAATAAAAAAAGTTTTCCATACAAGAGCTTGATTTTGATCGTTCAATATTGACCGTTCCGACAAATGAGCTGCTTCTTCCGGAGAAAACGGTATACACAGGCAGACAGAAGGACATGGCTAAATCTACTCAGCTCGTCACGCTGATCTATTATATACATTTACGTTTTCTTCTGAGTGTTACAAACTTCATGCAAACTTAATATACCCTGTTCAAGGAATAAAAAAAAGTTATTTGGAGATGGAAGGTTGTTTTCTAGAAGTATTTTCGAAACCACAGATAACGGAACTAATATATATACTAATACTTTGGTCTTTCCCCAACTATGACAATTTTCAGTATGAAATATTTTATAATACGAAAATCTGGCAATATTACTGGTGAAAGCGATGGGTTTTAAGTCAAAAACCGAGCTAACGGCTGAAATAAAACAGTTTAAGAGTAGAATTTACCGTTAATATGTTGCTAGCGCATTCGAAATAGAAGATGTTTTATTCGAACTCCCTGTTTTTCATAAAAGACCGAGGAACTTTGTAATGATTTTGCTTTAGAGCATCAATGACACCTTTTTCTATAAAAATTGCTTCCGAAATTGCTTTCTTGAACAAAAGCAAGTACTCAGGAATTATCTCTTAATACGTTATCTTCGTTAAAATTATATTCTTCGAAAACACAGTATTGTATTTTATGCTCAAGAAGTATCTTCCTTATAGTTATATTATTCGAAAACCCAGGGTTGTATTATGATATAAGTATTTTTTATCGAATTTGACCAAATCTTTATGAAGCATTCCACCGCTTAATCTATTTTTCCATACATTCATTACAAGTATAAGTATCGGCTGGGATGACTTTAAGTACCTTCAGTCGATCCATAAGCAGACAATTTTTCGCGTCGTAAACAAAAAGCTGCAAAACTGCCACAAATAGACACATGATGATCACAAGAACACGAAAAAGGTTATATCAATCTACGAAATAAATGAAAGAATTCCTTTTGTGGCCGCAATTTAAATGGACCAGTCCGGGTCTAATATGATCAGATAATCAAATAGAATGGCTTTTTAAAAAAAACAGATAATTTTGCGCTACTATTTAGACAAAATATATAGATCAAGACAAGGATAATTTTATATACATACATATATCTTTACTAAGAGTGGTTTTACAGGCTTGTTAGTTTCGGTAAATGCCTATTTTAGTTTGACAACACTTAAACACCTTAAAACTATTATTTTACTCTCTAAAGCTCGAGTAGCTATTAAAAATAACCTAAAAATCAAGTTAATAATTCAATGATCTTGAAATCGATACAATATACAATATCCACAGTACAATGAAAATATGTATGTACTTCGAAGAATGCATTCAATATAGATTTTAATTTGTGAACACAAAATGGATTACAATGTTTTTGTACACATCATTAATTTTGAATATCAATTTATCCATATAACGTACATACAAGTATATTAATTGTGTTTGATTAATATTACATTTTAGCTTAATACTCTTCTTAATTATTTCAGCAATATGATGCCAGGGAAAACGATCAAGCCATGTCCAGCTTCCTGAATGTTGTCTGCAAGTACATTCCTCAACCGCAGCCGAAAGTGTGTGCCGCTCTTAACTCAGCCATCGCCACCACTGTTACACCGCTCTTAGCTTTGTTGGCTTATTTGCTGGTACGATTATTCTAAGCTACGAAAACACATTTTACAAAGCCGCTGCAACAGGCGGGTACCTCCATTTAGCTTCCAATGACAAAAAATGTTGTTGAAGTAAAATATTCGTAAATCGTTTTTATTTTTTATACTTATACAAAGCAATCCGTCCAAGTATTGTGATTCTAAATTTTTGTATTCCGAAATATTATCTTCAAATGACACTTTTTATATTTAAAATATATACTTACGAGTATATATGTACAATGTCTAATTATGACAGATATGTGTCTATCTATAAAGTAGAATGTGTTTATAGAACAAGTTTTAACTGTAACATAAATCAATGATATCCATATTTGTAAAATATATTATTAATAAATACGTATGTATATCTTTTTTCGAAAAGATTTTGTAGACTCAAAAACAGTTAAGTATAATATGGAGACAATGGAGACTTATAAATATGAAGAATGTGCTCGCTGCAACCAGTGTAAACTTTGTTTTTCATCGATAAACCGCACATCCAAAGACGGCAATTATGAATTTCTTTATAAAGTGATAAGAGCCTAGCCTATAAATTTTTTATTCTAGCTCTGTTTTTTAATGGATAAGTTCTTTACAGAGACATTCGCTGTCTCAAGGCATGTAGTTATGTCTCTGTTCTGCTAAAAAGTTTTCTCTAAGGTGCTACAATATTTCCCAAATTTAGCATATAATTCAGATTACAGTGTAATTTTTTTCAGATAACTTTGAAACACCTAAGCTAATAATTTACCTCACGATTTGAGTCCAGACGTCGATTCGAGATATACTGCTTTTGTATTTTTATACTCTCGCAACCTGTTGCTACAGAGTATAATAGTTTTGTTCACCTAACGGTTGTTTGTATCACCTAAAACTAATCGAGTTAGATATAGGGTTATATATATATAAATGATCAGGATGAAGAGACGAGTTGAAATCCGGGTGACTCTCTGTCCGTCCGTCCGTTCGTCCGTGTAAACTCTAACTTGAGTAAAAATTGAGATATCTTTATGAAACTTGGTAGACATGTTTCTTGGTACCGTGAGACGGTTGGAAAGCCATAACGTTCTTTTCATATTTCTATGTTATAGTGCGAAAATGGGCGAAATCGGACTACAACCACGCCTTTTTCCCATATAACACCATTTTTAATTCAATCTGATTCATTCATTATCCACTATGCATATCAAGTAAAAATGATTATATCGGGGTAAAACTTTGTGATCAAAATTTGTCTAAATCGAACCAAACGAGTATACCATTTGACTTTGCGAGAGTATAAAATGTTCGGTTACATCCGAACTTAGCCCTTCCTTACTTGTTAGAATTGTATCCGACCAAGGATTGTCGACTCAGCATCAGTACCAAAACTTTTCCACTTGTTTTATTTTTTGCTAATACTGCAATAATAACTGTTCTTTTCTAACCTTTTCTAATTGTAGTATAAGGTCTAGTAAAGCCCATAATAATAATTTTATTTACTAAACTGTCTCTCACGTTGAAAAGATAACGTCGATTCAGTGCAGGGTATTTTGAATACCTTAATTCGATTACGGAAATCGGCCAGTCCGACGGATATGTAAGCACTGCTTTAATGACCCTGGTGCTAAACATTGCACACAAAATCGTTTGGAACCATTTAAATTAGGCTGGATACAAAAAGAAGCTCGTTTTGTGGGGGGCACACGGCACGAAGAAAAACTTCCATAACCAAATTTCCATCTTCGAATTACTGCTGAATCGCAAGAAAGTCGATTCATTTCTGAAGCGGATGGTGACTGGATAGTGACTCGCCAGAAGCTCCAGGAGCTTGGTGGCTATGTTCTTTTGCATCGACCTTATAGACGGGCAAATGAAAAATAGTTCTTAATGAAGTGAAAATGATCCTGGTGAAAAATTTTTCTTAATGAAACTTGTGAAAATCGTGTGTTCCAGTTTTTTCCCAACAAGGAGCAGCCTAACATATGTATATGTACACATTAGTTTCTCGTATTTTTCATAAATATTTGCATAATTTAACTCGTCGTTAACATCAATATTTACAAAACATTAAAGTGTATTGTTTTTCAAAGTTTCGCTTGACTGACAAATGAATTAGCTATCTGAGTTAATACTACCGTTGTTTATGCCACAATTGAGTATGGTGATGCACATTCTTGTATAGTGTGTTTGAAAAGTATGCGAAGGTTAACTATAAATTCTACGTAAATAATTGTTGACTGTAAGAAAGAAGTGTTAATAGCATGGAATTACTTTCTACATAATCCAAACTCATTCCCGAAATATAGGAAAAGGTTAGTCCAGAATATCTTTCCTGTACTCTAAATACATAACTGAGCCATTTGCGGTTAGCAATCAGTTTTCATACTGCTAATTTCAGCTATGGAACCCAAGGTTAAAAAGATACAATATATTAAGTATTTAAATAATTTATAAATTAATAAAGGGAAATAGCATGGTGAACGTTCAGTTATGTCTTCTCAGATTTTCTTCCGCATACAGGAATAAGTAACACAGGATTTCAAAAACCTTGTGGATTCAATAACTTGATTTTTTGACCAGTTGCTAAGAGCAGGGAAGTATCTTTACTAAGAGTAGAGTCAGACCTTTTGAATTATATACTGAAATTATCAGTGGCATTAGATCATATATACGAATTGTTTGAATAATTTAAACCACTACTGTAACTATGCTAATCCATTACGTAAAGTGTGTTATTAAAAAATTGCAGCTGTCGATCGTTCAAATGTTCTCGCACGATAAAATCTGCGCTAACGGTAAACACAACAAAAATCGCCGTACTCTTAATCAAAAGCACAGAAGGGTATATAAAAATAGGAGTAACCAAGCAGGCAGGCAGGTATATTTTTGGATTAGTAAATCACGTTATAATTACAATCAATTTTGCTATGATTGTGGCACATTGCTACCATTATTAGTATATGATTATTGGTATCATTGCTTGTGATTATGTTGAAGGTATAAACAAAATTATGAACGTTGATTCGAATAAGAATTATTTCCCACCGATAAATTTCCTATTCGTGGTAAACAAGCTGATAAGAAATTTGAGCACACGTTTACACACAGTTGCAGCAAATGTGACAGTGACAGTGGCAGTAAGTAGCAAGAGCTCGTCATCATAACAAAAACATTACGGCAACAATGTAAAAAAATGCAAATGACAGCGAAAGGCAAAGCTTGAGAAATCTTGTAAAAATATGTATGTTAGGATGAGCCAAAAAGTAACCTATCGAATTCATGGAATAAAATGAACCTACATGAAGAGAAATATATATCTCTACAAGGACATATTTTTTACTTAATTTTAAAAGATGCCGGTGAGCATTCAAAGTGTACAAAATCTGTTTTCACTAAAGATAACATAACTTTTACACCGTTTAGGATAAAATTTTTACATTGCGGATTTTAGTGGAGTATAAAATTTCCTAAATCTACCTTTGGGAGATTTTTTTAATTAAACAATTCGTATACTTAAAAACTTTGAAATGATAATGAAAATTTCTTTTTCACGGGTTTAAATGCTCAACGACACCTTTCAAAATTAAGCTAAAAATTTTTCCTTGCAGGCATACTTTTCCCTCTGTATACAGGTTCATTTTAAACCAAGAAAAGTTTGTTTTAAGCTCTCCCTAATCTATAAATATATAGTCAATAAGTAACAAGGTGGACTTAAACAGCAACAAACACTTCAAGCTGCTACTAAATTTAGCTTAGGGAAAGGTGTGAAATATATATGAGGACGATGTGGGGGAGTGTGTGTGTGTGTGGTATGCGTGAGAGGCACATGGCCTCATACATACAGACATTGCTACCCATTTTTACAATAAAACATTCTTTAACGAATTCATTTGCATGAAAGCAATTCTAAGGAAAATCTGCTGACCTTTACGGTTTAAGCGATTTAATTGTACCACACATACACACCTACATATATTATACCCACATATATGTATATACAAACTACACAAGTGTTTAGTGACCACGTATGCGTCATTACTGATAGCATGATTAGCTTAACCAATTAATCGGTGTAATCATTTACATAAGTCATAAGTCGCTCCACTCCCGAAATACAATGCCAACATGCTTTCTACAACGCTCAAAGATAACGTGTGTGCTGCAAGCATTTAAAACAGATGCACAGCTCTTCAAAATAGAAAGTTGTCCACAGAACTAAGAAATTACCCAAGGGAAACAGTAAAACAAACAACTCAAGTGAAAAAAGTCCAAAAAAGAGCACACACACTCCCACAAACAGAAATTGGACTTAAATGGCACGCCAAGATGAAAGCTTGGTGGCGTTTGTTGAGCCTACGCTTTTGGCTATGCACCTCCCTACAGCCAAATATCAAATTGAGGCTGAGGCGTCGGGTGGGCGTCCACACTACAACAAATCATACTCGTTATACTCGGTAACGCTCGTGGCTGATAACGTTCTGTGATTGGCTGAAATGTAGAATCCTGTTGCTCGGTCGGACCTTATCGTTGTTAGTCGAGTATAAAATGACAACGCACAACACAGAGAACCCATTCAAATTTTAGCGCTTGCATACTTTAGCAGCAAATTGTGACCGCGGTAGCATACAAAGTCTGAAACAATATTTAAGTTTCAATACAGTTACGTGAAACAACAAGTGGTGTTAGCCAAGAAAATATACCGACCGACACGTAAAGGTACGCACAATTGAGTAACAATAGCGCATCATAAACGAAAGCAATAAAATATAAAAGTGCATTGCAAAAAAAGTCTAAATCGTTTTGAGTTCAACAAGAACCGTAACTACAGTAGAGTGCAGCTAAGCTCAGAAATAGTAATCAAAAATTCCGTTTAGTGGTCGTTCAAAAAATTGTGCTGCACTCTTAAAATATTTAATAATTAAAGGCTTGAGCAAATCCATATCAAATCGGTAAGCAAAATTTTTTTTTTTTTGAATTTTATACATTAACAATTTTGAAATAGTTAAAATTTTTAAACATGTTATTCATATTTTGTTTGAAAGTATTTGGAATAAAATGCATAAATTTTTCAAACTCTTGGTCTTAAAGTAAGTTTGTTTTATATTAAGCAAGAGAATTTAGTGTTATTTCTAAAAAATTCTCTTTTTCTAAAATCCAATTCTCAAAAACTGAATATCACTAGGAACTTGTATCAAATATTATATTTTGGCCGCGCCTAAATGTGTGCTTCATCTTTTGCTTGTTTTTAAAGCTACATTTAATCAATAATGTGGAGAGGATATTTATTTTTCCGCTTACAATAATGGTCCATAACTCAAAATCATTAAACTGTTAAGTAAATTTGATAATGAGGTAAGGCCAAAGCTTTGATTAATAATTATGAGAAACCTTTTACAAGTTTAATATGTCGAAATTTAAATTTAACGCTAGGATTGTTCGAAACATCCAAAACTATATATAGCAGTAGCATTCAAATTCAAATTTTTGAT